GTTACAATTGCTTGTCGTGTAGTTTAAATATCTATAATTTTTACTGACTATTATATACTTTCAGGTTACTATTTTTTTTTTAAATGGTAGGCAGATCCGGCGCAAGGGCAGTGCCACCAGTGCACCTGCACAGGGCACCAGGCAAATGTAGGGCACCGCGAAAACAAAGCTCACTGCAGAAAAGCAAATAATTACTGAATAAATATTATATAATTATGAAAAGATAACATTTTAAAACTACTGTTGAAATAATAGTGATCTCCGTAGGTATGATTATACGTGTAACCAAACCTTTATTTAAAATTTAATTTTATATTTCTACAATAATTAAAAAATCCTCAAAAATGTTTAACAATATTTAATATTTACGATACATTTAAGAGCATCAACAACGTAAATCGTAATTAGGTACCTAGCTACTACCTACTGAATTAGTTACTTCAACGGTCTAATGTCTAAAGCTAAGCTAGCTAGTATGTAGGTACCATAGGCGTGCGCATAATTAAGTTTATATTGTAATAATTATTATTGTACATTTATACACGTGTATTGTGTATACAAAACTGATTTTGTATCACAAGAATATTAAAATAAACCTTTATAGTTTATTTATAAAAAACTTTTATGCAAAATATACAATCTTTTTACACCTATCAATGTTATTTATTTTATGAACCTACCTAACCTAACCTATCTAAGTCCAAAAATATAACTCTTTTCCATCAAACCTATTCCTATATATAAAGTGTTTACTATATAAATATATTAGTTAGTCTATCTAGATTCTAGACTATAATACCTTCATATTATACATAAAATAGCTTCACGAATATTTATTTTGTTAGGGGGGGGGGGGGGCTGGAGAACGGCTCCTAGAGTGATAACCCCGGAGATTTAATCCCCGAAAAAAAAAAAAACTGTATAACAAAAATGATGTACACCTGCCTAAAACAGTAGTCAGTAAGACAGTCACACATATTCACGAGATTTCAATGTCTGTCTTTGTATGATTAAAAACAACAAGCCAATTTTTTTACTCATAGTACATATTTTGTAATACAATATCAATAATATATATAAATATAAAATAAATAGTCAATTCTTTTAATCATACTAAATTTGTTTTGAAATGTCAATAATATACCTAACTACATAATATATTATAATTTATAACCGTCGTTTTTATCGTATACAATAATTTATCATTGAATCCAAATTTAACATTATCTGTGGGGACATAAGTACACAGAGGCATGCTCAGGAATATTGAATAACCTCAGGGTTGGTTTGAAATTTGTTTCAAACTAAATATTTGTTAAATTTAGCGTTATAAATCTAGCTTAGGCGTTTAGCTCCCTCTCAAATTTTTTAATTTTTTTTTTGGACACCTATGTATTATTATTACAACCAGTTAAAATGATTGTGCAAAAATTAATTGCCGGAAATTATTAGTTTTTATGGTAGAGCATTACGAAGTTCCCGATTTTCAGTGTTTTTCGCTAACGAATTTTAAATTTTTTTTTTAATACCTAATTAAAAATCAACGTTTTAAATATTATGGTGCAAAAATAATTCTGACACCCACCCGTGGTGGTTTTACATAACAAGTCGAGGGATGTATTCGATTTTAATTGACCACGCCGGTTGTATATGAAAATTTCAAAAACTTCTATTACTTATAACTTTAAAATAAGTCTGCCCGCAAAATTCAGACTTCCCCATCGTATTAGGTACGTTAAAACAAATAAAATTCAAAAAAGGATAAAACAGGAAAATAGAAATGTTTCAAATGCGCGGTAAAATATTGAGTTGTACGGATGCCTAAAACACCAAAAATTGTGAACTTTGAAAGGGGCTATAACTTATAAACTAATAAGTTTTGGCAATTATTTTTGGGTCATCATTCTTATTAACTCGTTGTAATACATAGGTTTCCAAAAAAAAAAAATGAAACAACTAGCGTGAGTGCTAAACTAGATTTGTTCCCAATAAATTATTATAGTTATATGTAAGTAAATATATTATATTTGTAAATTGTTAATTTGAACCTCCCCTAACACCCCCCTCCTCACCCTTGAGCACGCCCATGTAAGTACATAACAATAATTGTTACATATTCCATACTAAATATTTATAAAAATTATTATGAGACTATTAGAGGCAGTGGCGTGGTATACGACATTTACCTAATGCAATTGCTTAGCCCTAGACATTAATTTTATATTTTTAAAAATTAAAATTTGCGTGAATGAATGTATAATTAATTTATTGTAGTATTTTGTTTATGATAAATTATTTATGACGTTTTATAAGAAAAATTCTAAATTAGCATGCATCTTTAAATTGATGTATTATGTACTAGGGGGTAGTGGGTGGGTTATTGTTTAAATATTTTGCTTAGGGTTTGTAATATGCTCGCCACGCCACTGATGAGAGGGACGTCTGATGTCATTTACTCATTTATATATAACACTTAATACATATTAGCACATATGCAACTACTGCAGAAGATCACTATTTTACGCTTAATCCTGCTATTCTATCAAAAGCAAAAATTAGTACTAAAATTAAACTTAGTTTGTTGTAACGGCATTAGAACCGTCTTAGTAACCAGTTTTACATTTATATTTAATTATTTATATTTTATATAATATACACCAAAGTTAGTTCCAGTTAGTCTAATATGGCTAGACATAATAATTGTAGACAGTATACAATATAAATTTATTTAGTTTACCAAGAACTCCTTAATTACTGTCTACGTCTGAGTACGTCCTATGGCAAGTACGATATTTTTGGAAGGGTACATAAAAGTGTACACTCTAGTTATTATTAATCAATATAGCTCGTCATTAGACTATTTCTTCTCCTAGCAAGAGGTTCTTAAATATAAAAGAGAAGTACCTAATAATATTTTTGAACATGGATTCTGAGGTCAAAAGCAACCGAAATTCTGATGTCAAGTGCCATAAAGGATTTCAGTATGTCTTTGACAAGTTGATAAACAATGGTACAACTAAATCTTACAGATGTCGTAGAAGAGACATAAATTGCAAAGGCCGTATCCATATCACACCTGGTGAAATACGTGTCGTGAATGGCCACGGTGGACATGATGAATCACCTACGAATGTAGAAGTAAGTACAAATTACAATGTCTTTTTTAATTTTTCTATAATGGGCTATTAGATCCCGGTCCTAGGGGCCAGAATGTTGACTTCATGAATGGTTATAGATTTGTATTTTTATTCATTTATTACAGTTCAATTTTACAAATTTACACACTCCTAGTTAACGATAAAATCGAAATTTTTTTCATGTTGCCATTCATAAAATAAAATAGTAGGAGCCAGATATTTTCATTAAATACTATAAAGGTAATTTCTAGTCATGCAATTTTCAAAACAATTTTAGATATTTACTAGAAATTTTTGATTATTTAAATTGTTTTCCCGGTATATTTCTAATTGCAATTTTTTTCCTTACTATAATTTTTCAAGTTTTTATTTTTTTTTAATGACATACTCCAAATCAGAACAGTCTGAGTACTCCGATGACTTAAAATCGTATTTTCGACAAATAGTTTGAGTTTAAGGTTTAGGTGAGCGGTGTTTAGTGGCAAGGGTTCATAATGTTGGTCCACTTCTCCACTCATATAAGCTTTAAACAGGTACTTAAAAGTTACAACTCATAATATAACACACCATTATTCATTATAGTACTGGGCAAAATATTCTGCTTTTGAGTATGCCATTATACAAATGCATGTTGTAAAAAAAAGTAAAACTTAACAAATGAGCAAATTAAAAATAGCAAAAAATATATTTTTAAGGAAAAAAAATGTATAATAATATTTAATATGTATAACGTAGTAGGTGAGGGGTGCTTTAAGAAGAAGTGCTTGTGTAATAATGAAGATTTTAATTTTGTATTCGTGTTTTAAGAGTGCGCTACACAGCATGCGTTCTCTCTGTCTTACAAACGCATAATATAGCAAATTTTACACTCAGCAGATCACATTTAGTTCTGTTAGTTTAAAAATTAGAGTGAATTGAGCTACAATTTGCTATGTTATGCATTTGTAAGACAGAAAGAATGCATGCAGTGTAGCGCCTTCTTAACATAGAAGGTCGTGAGGATGAGGTCCGTTTGTGATGACGTTATGTTGTAGGTATGTATGTGGAGATTATAATGAAATGTAAGGGGCTCCTGTTGAGTTTGTAAGTGAGCTATAGAATTTTTTTGCTGAGGTTTTTATGTGGTTTTCTATTTCTTGAACTTAAGTCTGTGTAGGTTCAAATTTCTTACTAACCAGAGGGCTTGAAAATTTACAATGTTTCTTATAAGTGGATTTTATTGACATACAAAAATGTTGAAAATACATATTTACAATTTTTTATTATTAATAAGTTGTCAAAATGCACTCAAAATAATTTTTAGGATGCAATAGTACATTGCATTTAAATTTAACAGAATAATTAAACCAATATTAGCTACATAACCCCCTGTAATTTGCCCTTTTTGATTATTATATGTGTCATGGTTACTATTTTCAATTTTGATACTTAAATATAAAATATTATACATAATTTTATACACTATAGATTTATACAAATTTTCTTTACCTAATTAGGTAGCAGCTACATTAACAAAAATTAAAAAACGGGCATTTGAAACAATGGAAACCCCAGCTGTGGCAATTAACCAGTGTATAGGTAATACAATTAAATTAAAATAATCAGTACAAGGGGTGAACGCGGGAAAATATTTTGTGTGTGTGTTGTTAACCCCCCAAAGCCGCCTATGCGTTCGCCCCTGACCAGTACTATTTATAAAACTAACATACAACAATAGCCTTATATTTATATAGTTTAAAATAATTCACAAATAACTTATACACAATTTAGAGAGTATGACCATTGCTGGAAAAGGAGCACTAACAGCAATCGATAGTTTAAAAAAAAACTGTCAGAAGGGTCAGATGTCGAAACGGTCCACAAATGCCTGTTGCTCCTCTGTCCTTGGTTGATTTGGTTATCCCAGACACCTTTAAGGAGTATGAAGTGGAACCTGGACAATTTGAAAACTTTTTACTGTGCGACACTGGGCCTGGACTCAACAGGATCTTAGTATTTGGTCGCCAGAGAGGTTTGGAAGTGAGATTCTATTCTATAAATATATAAAAAAAAAATTAATTTATAAATAAATGTTTAAATATTTCTTATAGGTACTTACAACATCTGATGAGTGGTTTGTTGATGGGACATTCAGTATTAGTCCAAACCTTTTCTCCCAAGTATTTGTGATACTAGGATGTCGGAATGGCGGAGTTCATCCCTGTCTTTATGCACTGCTGCCCAATAAAGAACAGGCAACCTACTGTACACTTTTAGTGGAGCTAAAACGTTTAGTGCCTGCCATTAATGCCACAAGTATATCTGTGGATTTTGAAGTTGCGATCCACAATGCTTTTCGGACAGAGTTCCCGGCAATTGAAATACGTGGTTGTTTTTTCCATTTGCTAAAAAACTTGAAAAAACAAATTGGAGCTGCAGGGTTGATGGCGTATGTTAAATTATATATAATATAAATTAAAAATTGTAATACCTAACACTATATTATTTTTTTAGAGATTATAGAAATAATCCAGATTTCAATCTATGTGCACGGATGATTACAGCTTTAGCGTTTGTTCCTCCCGAAGATGTAGCTACTCGGTTTGAGCAACTAAGTGAAGAGCTGGAAACGTTATACCCGGCATTACAGCCAATTTTGGATTGGCTGGAAACATTTTATATTGGTATTTTAAGACGAGAGGGTGTGAGGAGGTCGCCAGTTTTCCCCATACCAACATGGAACCTATATAATAGAGTTCTGGCACAACAAATGGTATGTATTAGTTATTAGAAGAATACACTTATTAGATAATAATATATATTAATACATTCAAAAAAAATAAAACAAAAATAAATTTATCTTGTGGTTAACTTAAACTCTTAAAATAATAAGTAAATATATTAAGCACATTTAATACAATAAAGCTTCTGGCAAGAATTTTGAATTTTTGTACATAGTTTATTTTTAGAATTTTAGAAATATTAGATTATCTTATTTAACAATTTAATAAATTATGTTAAGAGTATTAATTACATTAAAATGTTATTTTTATTTGTATAGGTTTTATACGCTTAGTTTGCAAATGTACATTTTATTCATATGTGCTTTATTTCGTTTTAAAATTGCATTAAAAATTACCTATATTGATTAGCCATTTTGAAATATTAATGTAAGTTTTCATGCACAATTAACAGTGTAGTCCTAAGTCATAAAAATTCTACACACAACTATTGGAATGCAAATAAAAAATAAAAAGTACTCCAACACAAAAAAGGTTTGGAGACCAATATTTAGAAACAATGAGTAAACTTTTAGTACCAAGATCAGTTGTTTGCATAAGGAACAATGTCTTACCAGTTTAAAGTTTAAATAGTCCCAAGTTGTATAACTTTATTGTACATAATTTTTTCAGATAATTCTATAATTTATAAAAGTATATTTGCATTTTTTTTTTTTAAGAAAAGAGAGCTTATTGAGTTACCAACATAAGGTTAAAAGTAATTTATTCTTCATACAGAGAGGATGTAAATATGGACCTCTAGGTTCTATGGTACTATAGTCTAATAGTCTATGAACCATTATCGCAATTTATTACATTGATATTAGAGCATCAGAATTATTTATTATACCATGTGTAGATCCACAAAACATTGGTCGCAGACCAAGACATCACTATTATAATTAACTTAATACATTTTAAACATTACATTAAATCAGTAGCTCCTTGCTCAATTGTTATCGTTTTTTACTACACTACAACTTCCAACGATATATATTATACACTTTTATAAGATTACAAATAAACATATATCATTGAAATAAAATTAACACAAGTAATCATTTTACTCAATAACTATCACAATAAAATATAATTTAACGTTTTTATGATATGGTTAAAAAGGTAGGTAGGTACTAGGTACTTCAAAATTATTTTGGTAAGTATCTTCCTAATTGAATACTTACACAGTTACACAATAAATTAATAAAATTTGTTATACTAATAATGTGCTAAAAAATAATTTGTATGAGGTAAAAGTACTATGTTAGTATAGGTATTTATATTACAAATCTTTTGTAAATGGAACTTTTGGGTTTGGATCTTTTTAAATTTTTCTCAATCATGACATTATATTTTATAAACTTAACTTTTAAATTTAATTTCAAAAAAAAAAAAATGGTAAGACTATTGATTATAAAATAATAATTACATGTTGATACCTACCTAGATATAATAAAATAATACCTATTCATAAATCCCTTATAATATATGGAATTTGTTTGTTGTATTGTCACTCGACTTACTATAATATGTGAGTAGGTATTCTTAGTATGTATTCTTTTTAAGCGCCCTTATTGACCTACATATAATTTGTATATAACTGGTAGACCTTACCATAATATTACCATAAAAACACTGCCAAATATTTCATCTACAAATTATAAAATTAGTTATTATGAATATTGATTTTCCAGCTATAATTAAAAAACTTTTAAAAGAAAATTCATTACCTCTTTTTCAGAAAACCAATAACATTTCGGAAGCTGCTCATAGGCGTCTACAGGCACAGCTCGGTATGACAAATCCCACATTATGGAGGTTCATAAATGAGCTGAAAAAAGTGCAGGCAGAGCGTGACATATATTATGAATTTTTAGTGGCAGGCAACGAACCACCGCGGACTAAGCGAAAATACGTTGATGCTAGTAACCGTATTTTAACATTAGTCCGAGATTATAGAAACCGAAACATTATAGAGTACCTCAGAGGATTGGCACACAACTTTGTGATGGACGAATAAAATGTTTATTAGAACAAACAACTAAATTGTATTTAAAACTAAACAGTTGATTGTACCTATTTCTATTTCATACAGACATACAGTGTACCTACCTAGTGAGCAGTGTTGCCAAGTACTAGTATTAAAAAAAACAAGTGGCCTAATAAAAATCAACCATTTCAAATTTCAAATAGAAAAAAATTTAAACCAATATATCATATATTTTTTAAATATTGATATAATAAATTAAAAGCATTTAAATTTTAAAATAAGAGTAGCACTTTTAATTAAAAAAAAAAATAATAAATAAATAAATGGCATTTTACCATTTACCATCACCTGTTTAGTAGTGAGTCATAACCATGGTTACTCATAAACAATCGTGGTTCCCAGCTCATCATTATCACTGTGCGCATAGATAATAGAATCTTCTATTATCTATGACCACGGACTAAGATATAACCACAGATATAAAATATCTGTGTATTTTATATCTGTGGATATAACTTAGTATCTTAGTCCGTGGTCCGTGTCTATGACTGCGTGAATTATTTTTATCATTATTTTGATAATCTGATTGTGCGAGCGTAAATTTGAATTATTATTTTTATTTGTTTTATGTAGAAATCACGATTAAAGATATACCTAATCTAAAATATATATCTTTAATTGTGGTAGAAATCATGAACAATGTAAATACATAGAAAGTTGTATTTTATAGTACAAACACAATTTAAAAAAGCAGGCAAGTGGGTGGCACTCTGCTGTAGGTACAGTAGGTTACAAGTGGGTGACAGTAATGGATGGTATTAAATTTTAATTCAATAATATTATATAATTGTAAACAACAAATGATTCTTAGCGAAAACGGTTTGTCAACCTAGGATATTTTATATAATAAATTAATAAATAAATAAATATTAATATGGTAGCCAGTAAGTTGAATTAATATTAGGTATACTTATTAGAAGTTCAAGTAACCCACTAATAATATTTTTAAATTATAATACAAAACTAAAATGGTTCTTCTTTGTTTAAAGATCATGTTATCATGTTATTATCTAATATCGTCCAAACTTGAACTTTAAATAACTATAAAAAAAACTGTGTAATTACTAATATCTTTTTAGATTTTTTGGTTACAGTTTGAGCAAATCCTAAGCTATAAAAAATTTAACATTTTTTTAAATTTTTAACTGCAAAATGATCTGTAATTTTTTATTTGAGAAATTTTGTTGACATTTGAACTTTAATATTCATAGTTGTTTACAGTTTTGGTTATAATACTATTTATTTACATTAAATTGTATACAAATTACGTTTAAGAGATCGTTATATACTTAATACAAACCTATATAGTAAAGTTATAACCAAAATGTCTACATAATGTATAAATAAATATATTTTGAATATAATACGTCTACAGTCAATACTGTATAATATGGAGGTGTTATAACTTATAGTCTAGCTAGACTAATATATTCATATAGTAAACACTATATATAAAGGAATAGGTTTGATGGAAAAGAATTATATTTTTGACTTAGATAGGTAGGTTCATAAAATCATAAAATAAATAACATTCATAGGTGTAAAAAGATTATATACTTAACATAAAAGTTTTTTTATAAATAAAGGTTTGTGATACAAAATTAGTTTTGAATACACATGTATAATAATTATGTACAGTGAATAACTATGTAGGTACTTACTACCTACTTACCCGAGTAACATAATTGGTGTTATTTTCGTTTTTTCATCATTATAAGTTTAGTTAATAAACCGAATATCATGGTGCACTGAACCGTCGTAGGACGTTCATAAGCTGATTTTGCATACGAAAATTTACACACAGTAAACTGTGCTCCAGTAGTTCAAAATATAGTTCAATAACTGTTTATTTCATCGTTAAGAAACGGTTGTTAAGTTTAGTTATGAACAGTCAACAGTTCAATAACGGTTCTAATATTAATATTAAAACGGTGCCATTTTAGTTAAAATCCAAAAATTAAACCAGACATTTTTAGTTCACTGGTTTATTTAAAAACAAAATAATAATATTAATACTGTATTATAAAACATATATAAATAATATAGAACAAATAAAAAAAAAGTCTTTTTAGGTATGAATATATAACAAAAAAAAAAAAAACAAACTTTTTAGGTATTAATACTAAATAGTTAATGAACAATTAATAAAGAAACTTTCTTTGGTAGGTACATAATATAAATATATTGTTTTATGTGATTATGACTGCTGAAGATGATGGTTCTAGTGGTGAAGGCTTAGCATGTTTCAAGTAGTTTTCTACTACTTGAGTAAACTTTATTTGATCCTGAACTGTATTCACCAACCCAGATAAAGCTTCTGAAATAGATATGTAAAAATATATATAAGCTATATTATTTATTTACATTTAGACAAAATAAATTGTATTAAAAAATCTGATTATGTAGCGCAAAAATAGTAGATATTATAATCATAGAACACTGCAGCGATTACATATTGCTTTATACATTTTATTTTTTATTGTAAACACACTTGCAGGTTTATTAATTTAAATTCTGTAGGTACCTTTAATGACTTTAAATATTTGTAGTGTTTTGAATGTTTTTTTTGACCGGCCATGATAGCTAAACAAGTTTAGTATTTGTTTATCAAAGCATAAATCTAAAGATTTCCGTATAGCATGACTGCAACTATAACTATCAGATCCAGCATGTAAACATATATATTCTTTCTAAAATGAGAAAATCAGAATAATTATTATATTATTATAAAAATGTATAATAATTATGCCATATACATTTATTTATAAGTTATAATAACAATATATGAATAAATAAATTAAAAATTAAGCTTACTAAAAGTTCAAAATGGTTTGAAGCTAAATCACCATCAATGAGTAGTGATTCGATAGTTTCAAGTGATGCAATAGATTTTATTGGTAGAGTGTTTAGAAATGGAGCTGGTACTTGGGGAAGAAGAAAGCTATTGGATTTTCTACCCCGACAAGCATCAGCAATGAAATCAATTTTTTTTTTTATCATATCAAAATTGGAGCAAAGTTTCACAATGGTAGAGTTCATCATTATTATATGTGTCATCATAATCTCATCACGTTTTTTCATAGTTTTTTTTATCTCATCAAGCCCATTCTTAAAAGCATTTAAGTTTTTCAGTTCTGAATAATAAAACAACGATACATATAGGTAATGTAAATAATAATTAATTAAAAAATATTTTATGTTATAATATTATTGGTTCATAATATCTTGTTACAAAAAAATCTTAAACAAAATAAATATTAAACAATGATACAAAAAAAGTTAGTTTATTTTTATATACCTACATAATATATACCTGTTTTATATAATAATTATATTAATCACTAACTTTTATGTAACTATAGTTGTAATAATGTATTTTATTAGATACAAAGTTTGTATAAAAACTATGTTTGATATATATATAGTATATATACTATAGTGTTATTGTAAATATTAAATAGTATATATTATAGGAACCTGTTAAACTAGGTATCTAGATATAAAAATTAAATACAGAATCATTTTAAAACTATCATCTTAACATTGTTTAAGAAAATAGATAAATTATAATAATTGAAATAAAAGTAAGATTTAATAAAATACTGAAAAGTGTATATAATATACCTGTGTTAAAATTATTATCAGAAAGAGGTGTCAACAAAGAAGGTGGTTCGTCATCCATGGTAAATTCAACTGATCTAAAGTCTTCCGACATTAAACTATCAAATTCATCTTCATTATTGTTAATTAAATCATCGAAAATAGACTATAAACATAATATGTTACATAATCCAATCATATTGTAAGTTCATTGTAATATTAATATTAAATTATTTGTATAAATGTTTAAATATTATAAACTCACAGTCTTTTTATTTTCATCAATACACTTAGCATTATTAGGAACTGTTATTATAATAGGTGACGTTTGTTCATTCTCAACATACTCTTCACTCTGTCTGGGTATTTTAAAGGAACCTATTAAAAATATACTATGATTAATATAAGACATTATTTTAATTTTATATTAAGCTGTAGGTATACATATTACATACTGTTAACTATTTTATTATTCTCCTTTGATGATGATTCTGGAATAGATGCAGCTACTGATACTGCAAATGTTTAAATTCAAAATTAATTTTTTACTGTGTAATCTACACTTAACCACAACTGTAATATATCAAAACATACCTGTATTTTTTACTTCATTGCATAAAAATGATTTTGGTGGTGGGGGAAGATCATATATATATTGACTAGATATATCTAATATATCTCTGGAGGATTTTACATTTGTTTTAGGACTTTGAGAATCAACTACCATCACATTTATGGGTGTAGAACTCGGAGAATATATTTTAGGTCTTTTCTTTTTACGTTTTTGTCTGAGTGTAGAAATATCATCATTAATACTGGAATAGTTATTGTCATCATTGTTATCGTCACTTAAATCAGAAAAGGCTTTAGCCATTTTTCTAGCTTTAATTTCATTGGCTAAAATAAAATATTATATTTATTAGGTTGTTAATTTGTAATTATATTTTCTGAAAAGTGTTAAATAAAAAATATCACTTACAAAATAACCCCGACTTTTTGACCACATCGTACCAGTTCCCATCAGTATCATTTGGTTCTTGGCATTCACTAATCATCTTTTTAATTTGATCAGATTTAAAATATTTTTGATGGCCTTGTGTTTCATATTTAGACCTTGGAAACCAACATAAACCAACATCTTCATCAGATGTTGTCTCTTCATTTTTTTTAAACCAAACAAATGGTACATGCTGGATTTCATTCGATTCAACAAATAGTACAACAATATACCTACAATGAATTATAACTATTATGTACATTTTTTTTTATCTTATATAACTAACAACAATAACATAATTTATAAATATTGAATAATATCTTTTTTGACAATTAATGTAAAAATGGTATTAACAATACTGAATTTTCATAATCATTTAATGGCAAACTGACTATTTTTTGAGAAATATTATTTAAAGGCCATGTTTTTAAAGGGCCCAAACTAGAAGCTTTATAAATTCCAAGTAACGAAGATTTACATGGCTGTATAAAAAAATCTATCATCTTTTCATAATGCCGTCCAACAATTAATATTTTGCTTGTATCAGTTCTGTCTGTTGCAATATTTTCAATAACAACAAATTCTCCTGTGTTTAAAATTTTAACACATTTATCAGCTTCGTTTAATTTAATGCTCAATGTCTTCATGCGCCAACCAGTATACTGAGGTTCTATAGCATTACCAACCATTGGCCTGAGTTTATTCTTATTTGAGTAATAGCAATTTATAGGGCCTATTTGTGTTTGATATTGTTTGTAACTTATCATAACATTAGAAACTCTTTTTTCCTCATAACGACGGCTTAGTTGTTGAAGAGGCCTCATTCCAGATCGAATGTCTTTTTTTAAAGGTTGCATATGGTTTTCAAACATAAAAGCACATATTTTATTTAAGCCATTATACCGTTTAGCATCATCTGCTAAATGGATTACTGAATGTATATTATGAGATATATATGATGCTCCATAAATTTGTCCAAACATAATTACAAAATGTTTAAGAATATTTTTTGCATAAGTATTATACTCATGACTAACATTATTAGATAATATTAATCTTACACCAATTGATAGTTCAAGAAAATTATTATAAATATCATTGCTAACAATATCTTTAAAAACAACCAAACCAGTATACAACAAACATTGTCGTAGTTCCGTGGCTTTCCATCGACTCACGTCTCTCAAAGGATGAATTCTAGAATTTTTATTAGGTTTTCGTTGAAATTCCACTGGTATATTTTTCCCAAGAAAATTTAGTTTGTCATCTAATACTGATATAAGATTTGAAGGAAGCGATTTATTATGTTTTGGACTCCCTACCCACAGCGAAATAAGTTTTTTCACAACCCCTATGTAAATAACATGCATAACATCAAAAGGAGTATCGTTTATCAAGTCAAAATTTGGTATTTCTGTAAGTATAGTACGGCCCAAATGTAGTGTTTTGTCTTCTAAATTAATGAAACTATTATGTGTTCGAAGTGGAGAATCTAAATTGGGAAAATAGGTTCGAGTATGTGTTTTAGACCATATTCCTTGACCAATACAACGTGGACAAGAGTTCTTGCCATTATGTCCCCGTATTTTTAGAACAAATGCCTTTGCCGGGGCGTCACATATCAAAGCGTGCATTTTTAGTTTTACTACTTTATCTTTGTAAACAATCCCTTCATTTGTAATTTGTTTTAGCTCATCAACAAATTCTCGCAAGTATTCATTTGAATCCCCAGGTTTAGACTTTCCATAAAATGCACCAATCATAAATACATTTTGCCGATTATTAACGTTAATATTTGTAAAGCAACCCAAAATTGGCCATAGTTGACTTGATGGGTTTGTTGTTAATGGTAAACCATCAATTCCAACAGTCAATTCTAAGGTCAATGGTATATCAATACCACTTAGTAATAATGATTTTATTTCACGATTGAGACCCAAATGATGATACTCTCCTCCATGTATTGATTTAATTAGAGTCGTAGTTGGAGTTTTTAGTAATGTTCTAGCATCTTTAGGAAGATTATTTAATCCTGGCAATGTTCTTAAAAACATTAAAAGATCATTCAAAACTGTATGTGGAATAGAATGGCGTAGTGCCCAATTTGATAGAAATATAGAAGGGTTGTCTGCAGTGTTGCTAAATTGATACGAGTCTGAAGAAAAATTGTAACTGTTATTGTGGCTTGATGAAGTTGCAAGTTCATAATTTGAAGAATATCCATCAAAATTATTTAAATCGGAAGAGCCACTAGAATGATTATTAACAGCAGCATTTTGATTATATATAAATTCGGTTTCTTTTAAATTAGGAATCGATTCAATAGATGATGATGAAGATGAGGTATTAAACAATTTATGAGCAACAGCTGATGCAGAAATGCGTTGGCGGTATCGAGTTGTTTTACTTAGTTTTAATTTTTTTGAAGATTGAAACATTTTTAATATAGTAAATGTAGTCACACAAGTCTGAAAATTATTTAAAAAAAAATCTATTATAACCTAATATTAAATATTATTAGGTTATAATAGATTTTTAGTATACTTACATGATGCAGTATGTGTTATTACTAGCTGTTTGTAATATGCAGAGAATTCAATTTTGTTTATGACCATCAGACTATGCGTATTGTTTTCAACCAAAATGTCATCTACAATCAAAAATTATAAACTATATATAGATTAGTAGGGTTCAGATTTGAAGGCAAATGCCTTTCTTTTATTAATCATAATAGAAAAATAATTTTTATACAAAAATGTGTTTCATTTAAATTCTTAGAGAATGGATCTTTTTTTTTTTTGCCTTTTTTTGGCTTTTTACTTATAAATGCCTTTTTGCCTTTTTTTACATTTTGTTTATTTTGCATTAAATTAACTGGTATAACTCAAGTAAGTTAATATTTAAAATTGTTTTTAACTAATTCTTAGGACAAACCTGGTTAAAGAAAAAGGTACCTAATCTATTTATACAAAATAGCATAAACTTAATGTAGTTTAGTATTCATGCTCATTTTTAATTTGTATTTTTCTCAAAATGTGTGCATTTAAAAGTGTTTAAAAAATGTTCACTATTTTATTTTTTAGTTTATTTATGAATTGCCTTTTTATATAAATTAAATGCCTTTTTTACATTTTAAATGCTTTTTTTATTGATTATATTGCCTTCAAATCCGAACCCTATAGATTAGTGATTAATTTCAAGAGGTACCTAACAGTTAAACTATATTTATTTCAAATAGAATATTATATTTTATAGTACATAATACAATAATTTGATTTATATATACTTTACACAATTGTGTACATATATATGAAGTGCATAGAAAATTGTAAATATGAATATAAACATATCTTTTTCTAAACCAAGGCCTTGGAAAAGCAATTAACCAACAGAAAAATTGATATTACTATAATGATAAAGTATACCTACAATGAATGAAAAGTTTAAGAAGCCGTTTAAGATAAATATTATAATAGTATTCAAATAATATAGAATACTCCTTTTACTGTATTGATATTGGAACTAGAAGTTATAGTTCCACAAGTCAAAGACTATATACTATATAAACAATTGGGTTTGTTATATCCCAATGGGCATACTATATACCTGAATTGAAAAAAAAAATTTATTTGAAAATTTAAAACTTATATATTTTTCCTTTAAGGTACAACTGTTAAATTTATTATATTAATATTTATTATATTAAATTATAAAAGAAAATAAATAAATGTTAATATATTTCAATATACAAAATGTTATTATAATTTTGTTATATTATTACTTATAATAATTGCTTAAAATATCTTTGATCTTAAATGATGTGTTTAAACAATATTCAGTGTTTATAGTATGTATAATAGATTATGAGTAAAAATCCTGTTCAACAGTTATTTGTTAGTAGTAAAGTTCATCATAAAAACATTATGTTAAAATTGTTTGAATTGTAAAATTTGAAAAATTTATAATTCTCATGCAAGTTAAATTAATTTTTATTTATTAACATTTTATTTAATATAACTATAGTATGTATATGGTTTATCCATTAAAATGAATATGTCAAAGGTAATTATAATACTATATAGTATTATAGTATAGCTATTCACTGAGATGGACTAACCCTCAAACATTTTTGTAAGTTAATTATTTTTCAAAATTCTCAACAGTCTAACCCACATTACAACTTGAAAACTTAAATCTCGTCAATGCCTATTATATACCTATATTGTATATATAATTCAAAATACATAAATGTATGTTTCAAAAGTAATAGTTTCTTGTTTTTTTTTATTTTTATATTAAATCAATGATTAAAAAATTGATTTAATGTAAAAAAAAAAAAAACAAGAAACGTGGGTTCGGCTGTTCTGCCTCTCGCAGGATGTCTATATGTCTATATCTTAAAGGAGTTACCTATATATATACTTTAAGACAGTGTATAATAATAGATATATTATTATGAATGTTAAATACACTTACCATATTATAACGTTCATACTGCAGAAGTCTTCAAATTATATATATTATACTATATAGTACACTGATTACCGGTATAAAACTATAAACGGCCGTTTATCGATGGGCGCGAACAAGTAACAACTCGTACGATGGAGTATAATACGATATAATCACTGTACAAAACAAATTAACACTGGGAGCGCTGTTGACGCCTATCGTACTGATGGTTAGGCGGGTTCCCCCCTACGACGAGTCAGGAGATTTATTAAACGCACGAACCAATATATAACCAATATTAGTTCAAATATTAACTATAAAACGATGTATGCTCTTCGTGATATTTAGCACTATTGTACATACAGGGAACCGATAATTTATGAATTAGGTTATATAAAAATCTTATGAACGCTTAAGAAACCATAAGGTTAGATTTTGAACTAAGCAACTGTAACTGCCTTTAGTAATTTTTGGGATTATTGCACTATCAATGAACGCCGATAATATTTAACGCTAACACTTTATATGAACTAAAAGTGAGATAAACATATATTTCTATCTCATTCATGGTTCAAAATTAAACCAAAATACTTTCGATGACTCAAATGGTCCTAAACACGGACCTAGAACCAAGAAAATGTTACTCGGGATATTTAACCCTCGTATAATAATGTTTTTAATGCGTAGTTGAACAATTTTTTTGAATTTTTTGATTTGGTGTTTTGAAATTTATAAGGTTCATTTACGCTATAAATTTTTATGTAAATTTCAGATTTTAACTATAATATTTTATCCATACGTCACTTAGATACGGTCGCAATTTATTATATACCTATTTTAGAAACCAAAAAAATCCGGGGCGCAATTGACAAGCATCCATTTCATAACGGTAGTCGGTAGAGCCAGGATTTCAATGCAAATTGCAATTTGTATTTTTTTCTGGGTGATCTTAAAAAATACCCTCTTGTCTCCAATTAGGCATACATAATTTGTTGTATGAAATTATGAAACACATACTTCAACGGTGAAACTTTTAATTTGTTTTTTGCATTTCTTAGTATTTTTTGGTAATTTTGTGACCTTTTAAAAAGAAACGTTTTACACAATATTCTTTTTGTTTAAAAAGTTTTTTTTTAATATGTTTTAACATTGTTATATAAACGGCTTTTTTTGTTAAAAATGTTGTTTTCGTTTACATGGAAAATACAGTTTGTTTAAAGTTTAAACCACAAACAATTTTTTTTCAATAGGTAATCTTTTTTTTACGTTAGGTCTAGAGAATCAGGGTAGTTTATAACAAAGTTCAAAACATGTATATATATTTTAATTTTTTATGAACTAATTATATATTAATAATAATGAGTCAATATAATACAGTATTTATGCGGGTTCTAACAATGAAGTATTGGTGGCGTGATCTCTATATTCTAATTTTACATCCCTAATATTGTTGAATTTATTATTATACGTTATTTTATTTAAAATAATATTATAGTTTTTGGGTTTACTACACCGTTGCCAAGCAAAACGATTAGAATTTGTAAAATTGCCCAAGTGACAAATGGCGTTGGGCATCATAATTCAATAATGTTGTTGGATGTGGGAGTCGGGTAGAAGTTATTATATATATTAATATATTATTGTATCTGTGGGTATAATATTATTGTATATTCGCATATTATATATTCGTTACAAGATAGCGCTATCGTTGTTATGATTCATTCAGTCATAGGGCGTGCCATCATTGTCGATCCACCCAAACCATGTTGGTTGTTACCATCAAAACGGAATTCCTTAATCAAAAAGTTAACTACAAAGTACAAAACAACTCAAACAAGCGCGTCAACACTCAACTGTGAATCATGCAAGTTCATGATTGAACGTTTGAACTTTAATTGTTCGAATTATTCCATCCACTTAGTGCCTAGTATATAAAATATGTGGATTAGATTATATTTGTGATTTTCTATCGCTTTGTGCAAAATGAGTGAGGTATTACATTTTATTTTAATAGCTATTGCTGTTGGATTATGCTCAAATGTTAAAACTGGTGAGTAATAACTATTTGTATTGTTTGTCAACAAGACTTGTACTAGAATTTCATGTTTACTTTTTATGTTAAGGTAGAATCCTAATTACTTTAAATGTGTGTATCTTCATTAAATAATTCATTTCAGATCAATATTTAAAATTAATTTAGGTATCTATTCTGGTATTTGGGCTGTACTGTACAATATATTACTTAATTAACTCTCATTGTTATAGATTCCGATTGTGGTGAACCACTATTAGAAAAAGCAGCACTCAGAGCAACTTCTTCATTACCAGACAGAGGACCAGAAAATGCTATACTCAATGGTAATTATAAATTTGTATTTCTGTTATTTACGTATATACATTCCTTTGTTTGTTTTAAATAAATTTGTCGTGAATATTGCAATTGTATGTTCTAAATACCACCGTATCAATCATATATTATACATTAATTATATTACCTAGTTGCACTATAGATTAAAATATAAATTTCCAATTTATAAAATATTATTGGAATATTTTACATTTTGATATGACTAAAGCAGAAAAAAATCTTTTTTATTAATTAATGATGTACTAGATATTATATTAAATAGATATTGCAAAAATTGAAAAAAATGTACCTAATTACCTACTGTAAAAAAAAAAAGTTATGTTTATCTTGGATTCTTTTACATCATCAACTATCGGTAAGATGTTTTTTAGTTATGCAACATTGATATTTAAAATTGACTTATACTAAAATATGTATGCCATTAAAAAATGCACTAGTAGATTTTATTATTTGTTCATATTGTGTTGTTGAGTCACTGAATTTACTTTTTGTTTTAGTACCTTATTATTATTATTAAAATATAATATATAACAAACATATATTGAGTTACATTAATGTTATTTAAATTTTTATTACTGGGTACAAATTTAATATTTTAAATATATTCAAAGAGATTTGTTTCTATAACATCGTTATTAACACAAATGTTCAATTTCACGTAGGTAGATAAGTTATTTTATACAACTATTATTGGTAGATTATTTGTAAGCTGAATACTGTATTAAATGATTAATTAAAATTTGTAGAGTTGATGTTTAGCCTTTATGGTTGGTAATAGTTTATAGAAAATTGAATGAAAAAAATTAATTAACTCTACACACATAAGAAATAATACCTAGTTTATAATATGTTAGGTATGTTAATAATTCTCTTTTTTAATTTATTATGGACTAAAGTATACCTTTTTTATAACTAAAATCTCTTAATATACTTATATACATATTAACTTACTACTTTTTACCATTTTATCAACCCTATATATTTACTTACTTACATTCTTTTATAATATTTAAATTTTGAAAATTATTTCACTGTACTTATGTCTTATTGACTATTGTAGAATCTTAGTAGGGTATAATTATGGTTATTTAACTGGCAGTATCAGTCAGGCACTGGAGCATTATTATAAATACATAAACAATAAAACATCTTTTATTTAATTTGTAGGCAGTATAATTAATTAAAGTTTCAAATATTAGATGAAAAAATGAATAGTATGAGTTTTATAATTATCAAAAAAAAATTTATAATCATAAGTGGCTTATATGTTATGACCAATAACATATTTGAAATTCTAAGTGATATTCTCTTGGTTTTAAAATAATTTAATTTCATATATTAAAGAAGTTACATACATCACATACTTCCAAAAAATGGAAATTGATCAATTGTTTTTTAGAAATTATTTAATAAAAAAACTTTTTCCAAACAAAAAAATGTGTCCATGTAAACAGGTACCAGTAAGTTTTTAACATTTTAAGAAGTTGTAAAATCTGTCTGTTGCCCTTGTTTTACAAGTTAAATTACCAGTCAATAACACTTATAATTTTAATTTTGATGTAAATTATCTAATATCTAAATACTAATTATTCTTTGAGTGGCTCATTATTGTGCTTTTTAGATTGTTTATGTAGCATACAAATATAAATTAATTAATAGCATAATAACAATTACCTATAATAGATACAATTAATAATTTATATAAACTTATTTAATGAACATTTTTAAGATTTAAATAAATTGGGATAATAAAAAAAAATATATAAGAATTATTTTTATATTGGTGATTGACTTCGGTTGTTTCCTTTGTTTAGGTGTTTAATTGTATCATAGTGGCTGTTTAACTGTCCTAAAGAATATAAATTTTTATGCACATCATTTTAAAGAATTTTGCACAGTACAATCCTACAATGACAACATCAAAAAGGGTTCGTTGGGTATTCGATTGTGGCAATTGGTTTCCATCAGAAAATGATTGGTCTAAAGCTTCTCGTTCTATACAACTTGAAGAAAAAGAAAGAATTGGTCGATTTGTGTTTAAACGAGATGCTAAACGCTCAATTATAGGACAACTAATGATTAGAAAATTTTTATCAGAAGCTCTTCAATTACCTTGGTCACAAATAAAAACAAAAAGAGATCTAAATAACAAACCCATAATAGAAGGATTCAACTTAAATTTTAATGTATCACATGATGGAAACTTTGTTGTTTTAGCTGGTGAAGAAGATATTAGTGTAGGAATAGATATTATGAGAAACTGTTATACAGGTGGAAAAAGTTTAAATGAGTTTTTTAGATTAATGCATAGAAACTTCCATTCAAATGAGTGGGCGTATATTAGTAAAGGAACAGATATGAAAAAAACTAATTCATTTTATCGATTTTGGTGCTTAAAAGAAAGTTATGTAAAAGCAACTGGTACTGGGTTAACAATTGATCTTAAAAAAATATGTTTTGTTCCAAAAAATGAATTGAAGAAAGATTTAGTATTGAGTGATACTGAATTATTTGTTGATAGTAAATTAATGTCAAATTGGAGTTTTCATGAATATTTGTACGATGATTATACAATAACTGTATGCATTAAAGGGTCTATAATCCCAGTTAACTTTAAGCTTATAACATTCCAAGACCTAATAAGTAATGCAGAAATGATAACAGAAGAAGATGAAAACTATTGTAAATTATTCTTGAATAAAGAAGAACAACCATAATAATTATAAATTATTTTATGCATATTCGTAAATAAATTATTCTTGTATAATATAATATATATAATGACGTATTATTATATTACGTTTGTAGTCAATTCAATTATAAAATCAACAATAATGTTAATATTGGTGTTTCAGATAGCATGTAGTTATTTTTAAAATAATATGGAAGTAAATAAGAAAATGTATTTGTTTCATATTATCGCATGTTCTGTAGTAATAGTTATTATATTTATGAAGAATTGGTTGTATAATTTTGTTTTCTTGACAAGTATAATAAAAGGGGTTATTTGATTATGCGTACCTTGTACAAGTAGTTGCCAAGGAGGAAATGTTATTGACTGGTACCAATAAAAAAAAAAAAAAATTAATATGTTTATTTTATTTGTAGTATACTTATTTTACGTCTATTATAGACAAATGATAACCTAATATGTTTCTTTCATTACAATTATATAGTAATAATATTGTAATAATTAAATCATCCTAACTATGTTATACTTACATTTGTATAATAATATTAAATGATCACAAAACAAAACAATTCTAAAATATTGAGTATTCATTACTTTCAGTCCTTGATGCATTTCCTAAAATGCTTTTTCAAAACTAGACTTAACTTCCAATTGATATGTATATTGTATGTTTATGACTACTAAAAACTTTTAAATTATACCTATAAGAAAATAGTTCTGCACAAAAGAAATGTTGTATACCAGTATATTCTCTATTTTAATTAAAATCTAAAATATATGTATTTATACAATTTTTTTAATTTACTAATAAAATATTTAATATAAGCTTTAATTTTTAAAAAGTCATCATTACTAAAAATGTTTTAGATACTTTGTAGCTTATAGTCACTATTTTTAGTAATATGATAAACTTATGAATTTAAATGAATTACATTTAACACAATTTTTGATAAACTTTCATATTTTATTACTATTTACCAAACATAATAATAATAAATAATAAAACAAAAGTCCTGTCTAGAGTATCTTTTTATTGTATCAAGTGTTGCTTGTTAAAATTATTTTTGGGAATACTATGTATATATAATACTATATAATACTATGTAATATATTAAGGTACTTGATAATTTTCAGAAGATAATCATGATACAAAATGCAACTTAAAATTGTTGAACATTTATAAATTTTAACTACAACATTTTAAATTTGATATATTTTGTCAAAAATGTTCGTTTAAAGTTCAAAACATATAAACATATTTTGAAAATGTGAAAATTGCATGTATCTACAGTCATTTTGTTTAGAGTTACACCAAAAACTTCCCCAATGCGCCACTAGATTCACTTTCAGAACAAACAAGATACTGAAGTAGAAAATCAAACTATTATTTTGATTACTTATGGTGTAAACAGACACAACAAATTAAAATAAAATTAAAAAACATCATTGTAAAATCAATACATTCATCGCTCTGCTCAGAATCTAAAATTAAATCTAATATATTCATCATTGTTAATAATATATTATATATTTAATCTCAATTATTTAAACATTTTTTTCTAAGTCATTTTGAAATTGAACTAAAAATAGCATTTATTGAAGTGATATAGCCATTTAGAATAGTTTAGGTTTTGCACTTTTTTTGTTTAAAATAGTTTAGTTTTATTTTTGTGTGTTTGTTTGCTTGTGTTGTACTCTAGGACGTAATGCATGGACAGCATACAGCTCTGATTTCGCTCAGTATCTCATAATCGACCTAGGCCAAACCATGACTGTAACATCCATATTGACCCAAGGTAGAGCAGAATCTTCAGAATATGTAGAAACCTTTGGTATTAGTTATGGTTCAAATGGCCTAGACTATGCTGAATACAAAGAATCATCTGGGAATACTAAGGTAATTTATTATACACTAACGATAGGTACCTAGAATTTAAAACATTTTAAATATCTTCAAATAAGGTGAGATAATTATTTTTTAGAGTTTAAAATATATTAATTACAAAGTATATAGCTTTTTTTTGATAACTAAGAATTTTGTTAGGATACATGGCATGGACTTCTGCATATGATTCTCTTGATCAATACTTCATTGTTGAATTCTTGACTAGAGTGAAAATATGCTCTATTTCTACTCAAGGCCGGTCTTCCACTTTAGAATTTATCGAGGAATATTGTATACAATACTCTGATAATGGGAAGGGTTGGAAAAATATTGAAGATTCTCATGGCAATATTGAGGTTTGAATTTTATGATTGCCTCGAGTGTTATTTTTAAATTCAGTAGTGTTGTAATATTATGTTGTCTGCTAGTAGTTGTGTTCTCTTATTGCATATTGATTGATTTTCATTACGTACAATTTTGATTGTTTTGTTTACATTCCAAATATTGCTTAGTATTAAATATTAATATATTATATTGTAGTATTTTATTGAGATATTTATAGATTTTTTTTATTATTAAGAGTTGAGAATTTAATAGTTTTACAATGAACATCATTTATCAATATATCACATAAGTATAATATCTTGTATTTTATTATATAGATAAAAAAAAATGTTATTAATATCAATTATTGATAGCAATTGACTGTGGGTATTTCTTAAACTAGTATTAATTGAGGATTAATTAATTAATTAGTAATTGAGTAATTTAACAATGGGTTAACTTAAATAATTTCTTTATAGTCCTTAAATGGCCATTGCAATTTATTGACATTATTATATTTGTTTGATGACTGTTACCATATAATAATTAATATCAAGTGGATAATTCTGCTGAAAATAGGGGATCGGTATATTATATACAAGTTGTACAACTATTATTTACTGCCTCTGGGTTTATGAGTTAAAGCTTTAAGAAGTAAAAGTTAAGGACCTCTCATATTCTACTATTAAGTGTTCTTTTTTTTTTTTGTGAACAAATAAGAATTTAATAATTTCAAAAGCATAATTCATAAGTATGACCCTTATTGAGTAAAACAGAAAATAGGAAAATTTTCAAAATTTTCAATACTTCTTTCTTGCATACAGAATATCAACGCACTTTTTGTTTTCTCTCTGCCCACATGTTCCATATATTTGAGTTATTGACAGTAAAATAAAAATTTTGTTAAAAAGCCAATATTCAAAAACTAATTCAATTGTCTTCTTAACTTTAAGTTTGATAATAGGTCAATTCATTATAATATTAAAACTAACAACACAAGATTGGTTTTGCTGAACGCCTATTTGCTATGTTGTAGATGGGCCAGTGAGAAAAAACAAATAGTGTGCTGAATGTTAACATGCTAATATACTATACTTAATGTAATTTTATAAAAAAAATACACAAATGCTATTAGTTTTGTCAAATGATAATATTTATATTTTAAGAGGTTATATAACGTTTACAAAGGTTCCGCTTGATGTTGATATAAGTATATTACACTAATGAATATGCTGTAAACTAAATAGAATTAGAAAATTCTCAAATGCTACCTAACATAATACAATTAAATTAAAAGTTATAATTTTAAACAGTTATTTACCTACTAGATATTTTTGTATTTATGAACTCGTAGTTTAATTATAAAAATTGAAATAATAATTTTACATGTATCCATCAATAATTTACATATTTTTATTTGTAGTTATTTAGAGGTAATATTAATGGAGATGATTCTGCCAGAAATATATTTGAAGTTCCTATCATAGCACAATGGATTAGAATTAATCCTACTAGGTGGAGAGACAGAATTTCATTGAGATTGGAACTTTATGGATGCCCATATTGTAAATATCAATACTATATTTCATACATGTTGAGTTATTAAAATAATATTAACTTTGATTTTAGCATCGGATAGCCTTTATTTCAACGGAACATCATTGGTACGTTGGAACTTGAGAGATTCTCCTGTTTCTGCCCATAGAGAATCAATTAGATTTAGATTCAAAACAAATGTGGCTGATGGAGTTTTATTATATGGAATTGGATCACAAGGAGATTATTTAGCTTTACAGCTCAAAGATAATCGGCTACTATTAAATATAAATTTAGGTATATTTGGATGTTATTTAGAAAAATGTAATGGTTAAAATTGTAATTTTTTTTTTAGGATCTCAATTTATGACTAGTCTGTCGGTTGGTAGTTTACTAGATGATAACATTTGGCATGAAGTCATAATAATGAGAAATAGACTTGATGTTGTGTTTTCTGTTGATCGTGTTACAATTCAAGGTCGAATCAAAGGAGAATTTGAAAGACTAGATCTTAATCGTGAAGTATGAAGTATAAATTGTATCTGTCGTAAAAATGTTTAAAATTTAAATTTGTATTACTTTATTATTTTTTTTTCTTTCACTTGGTCACTTTTTGCATGTTGGCAACTAAGTTGTGTTTTAAATATGCAAAAACTGACCAAGTGAAATAATTAAATATACAAATCTCAAATTTAAAAATCTTAAACATTTTCACTTGGTTATTTTTTGCGCGACGAAATATTAATTATAATATGTATAAAATATATTATATTTTTTTTCTTATAGATATATATAGGTGGTGTTCCACATTTAAATGAAGGTCTGTTAATTAATACAAATTTTACTGGATGTATTGAAAACTTATATATGAATTCAACAAATATGATATATTTAGTTAAAGAGTCGTATAACTCTGGAGACTCTTGGTTAATGCAAAAATATCAAAAGATAAATACATTATATACTTGTTTGGTACGATTATTATTTAATATTCTAAAATTAAATCTTAAATTACTAAAATATTATATTTTTATTAGGAATCTCCTATTGTTCCCGTTACATTTTTATCAAGATCATCTTATGCAAGAATTAGAAGTTATGAGGGTATGAAAAAAATCAATATATCATTATCATTTCGGACTTATGAAGAACGTGGGTTATTAGCTCACCACAAATTTTTAATCAATGGATATGTCAAGGTAATTTATCTTTCAAACAATTTAACTTTGACATTTTCTATATTTTATTGAGTCCAATTTTTTATTTGATTGTTAGTTATA